ATGGGGCAAGGCCTAACCAGAGGGCAGACGCACCCGCGGCCATCACGTCACCACCGTCCCCAATGCAGGCATGGGGCAAGGCCTAACCAGAGGGCGGACGCACCTGCGGCCATCACGTCACCGTCATGGCCATCACGTCACCGTCATGGCCATCACGTCACTGCTGCCCCCAGTGCAGGCACAGGGCTGGGCAATCTGTCCTATATAATCCTGTGGCACTAGGCAAGGACCACAACTGTCACCCCCACTTTGCAGATGAGGAGATGGAGCAAGCCTGGGACGCAGCAAACAGCCAACACCCCCGCCCCCGCCATGTGGCTCAGGCCTGGCTGGCTGTGGGGACAGAGTAACTTTATTTAAATGCTAATCTGCTGATTAACCCCGGGTCTGGGAATGCCTCCAAACTGTCTAGTTGATGTATCATATTTATGCAGGAACACCTATTCCCTGGCATTCATATGCAGGAAAGGAAAAAAAAAAAAAGAACGCCTAGTCCTCGTAGGTTTCCTCCTAAACAAACCTGAGGCTGCAGAAGGAATCTGGCCACCCACCTGCCACGTTCCCAGCCACCTGCACATTCCTCCCAGGGCAAGATACGAGCCCCAGGTCGGGCGTTTGGGTTCAGAGCTCTACCTGTCTCGAAGCTGCCCGAGGCCATGTTTCTGTCTGTAAGTTCCCCCCAGTAAATAGCCCAGAACCAACATACTTGCTCTGTCTGCCTCCTTTGATTTCCCAGCTCCTTCAGTATCTGGGTGTTGCTTTGATTATACCACCTTTTCACAGAACAGTGGCACCTACCCTCGAAGCCACCACCTCCAAAGGGGACAGAGTGCTGGAGGCACCACCAGAGGACAGGGGCCCCCAGGCCAAGAGCTGCAGAGCAGGGCTCACAGGAGAGCCTCAGGCAGTGGACAGGTGGGGACCGGGTGGGACCAGCAGGTCTGAGACAGTGGTGGTCAGGAGTTAACCTGGCCAGCAAGTCCCGACATGAGAAACAGGGGCCAAGGGGCAGGGCTGTAATTCCTGGGTTCCCAGCACAGGGCAGAGCCTCGGTGTGGGGGGGCCGCCCAGGAGCCAGGACAGCAGGGGAAGGAAGGACGGGGGCCTGGAGTCCAGGTGCTGCCCAGCGCTTGCATCCAGGGTCACAGGACTGAGCGGTCAGAGGTGTCCTCAGCCATGCAAGGCGTCACACACCAGGCAGGGAGGAGCGGCTCTGCAGCCGCCATCTGGGAGCCTCAAGGGTAGTCTACACCCTCGGGGTGACTGTCCACTCCTCACGGGCACCAGGCCACAGGGAAGGCATGCAGGACACCCACACACCCAGCCCAATGTCCACTAGCAGCTCAGTCTTAGGCATGGAGGCACCTGCCCGACCTGGGTGCCTAGAAGGATCCTAAGAGACCCCTCCACAACCTGGAGTCAGCCGCTCCGCCCCGGGACTCTGGACCCACCAATGGCCGGCACTGGCCGCTGGTGCGGCCGGGTCGGCCAATGGACTGTAAGGATCTCCAGTGTGACATGTCCTCAGGGACCACACCCACCTGAGTGCCGTACAAAACTGGTGGCTGGCGCTGGGCACAGAGGCTCACGCCTGTAATCCCAGCACTTTGGGAGGCTGAGGCGGGCATAGCACCTGAGGTCAGGAGTTCAAGACCAGCCTGGCCAACATGGTGAAACTAAAAATATAAAATTTAGCCTGGCGTGGTGGTGGGTGCCTGTAATCCCAGCTACTCAGGACACTGAGGCAGGAGAATCACTTGAACCCAGGAGGTGGAGGGTGCAGTGGGCCAAGATCATGTCACTGCACTCCACCCTGGGCGACAGAGCAAGACTTCTCAAAGGAACTGTAGCCATGGGCTGGACTGAGATCCCATCTCCACCTTCTCCAGGGCTCAGCTTCCTTACCTGGGAAGCAGGAGAGCCCGAGGGTTGGAGTCTGTGACCTGGGTTGGAGTTCTGGCCCTGAAGGAGCCGGGCTGCGGGGTGGAGCAGGGCCAGCTGCCAGGGCTAGAGGCATCACCCTCCTCGGGTCCTCCCGACAACCTAAGGGCGGCACCATCCCATCCTACAGGCAGGTGAACCGAGCCCAGCACGACCCACAAGAGACTCAAGTCACAGACAGGCTCCCCAAGCAGCCTCAGCTCCAGCAGGTGCCCCAGGAGGCAGGAAGGGTCTGGGCCAGTTAACACAGATTTCACAGACTCCAGCCAGCCCCAGAAGGTGCCACAGAAAGGCCTGGCTGGACATCCCTCTGCCACCCTCTGTGCCTCTACTTCTCTGCCCAGACCTAACTGGCAGAGAGGATATAGGGCTAGACCAACAGGCCCTCCGGGGTTGAGGGCAGAGCAGCTGAATCCCAGGAGGAATCCCCAGGAGCTTCCTCAGCCATGTGGTCCAACTCTCAAGCCCAGGTGGGTTCCCGGCAGTGGCTGCCCGGCCTCTCCTCCCACAAGGGGATGGCCATCAAGGGGCAGCGACCCTCTTGGCCTGTGTCTTTGTGCACTGGACCAACTGTGGTCTCAGACCCGTTCCTTGGTCTGGCATTCAAGGCTCCCACCACTTTGGGTCCCCTTGTGTCAGCTGACCCTGTGGGCTTCCTGCCACTCCCCAACAGACCAACATCCTGCTGCATCCCAGCCTTGGCCCCAGCAGTGCCCTGGCCTGGTGGCAACCCTGGCCTCTGTGAGCTCCGTCGCCACCCATCGTCACTCAGTCATCCCCAGGGCTCCTCCTGCTGTGATGCCAGTCACACCTGGGGCTCACGACAGCTCATGCATAACTGCTTCTCCCTGAGCCTGTGACGGGGCAGTGCTTGGAAATGCAAGCCCACCACCCTCACTCCACAGGCACCCACGGACCCACAAGACACAGCAGATGCGGGAACAGCCTCAGCACCCACCCGCAGAGTGGGCCGGGCAGTAGGGTGTGCGGCGGAACCCTGTGTGTCATGTCTGTACGTGCCCTGTAAAATTACACCACTGGGCTCCAGCCCTGACCCCTCACAGCTGCTGAGATGACCACAGTTGAGCCCAGTCTCCTCTGTCTTAGTCTGTGCATTTATAAATCAAGAACCGTAACCCCCTCCTCACAGGATTGTTGCAGAGACAACAGTGCCTGATGCATAGCATGACAGAGCAAGCGCGCACCAAGCTCTGCGGCACTGCCGAGAGATACAAGCCACAGAGAGTTAGACGCCTACCATTCCTTTTGTGTAAAACTGAACTTCTGCATGTCTGGGATATATAAAAAGGGCCACGAAGATCCGCACCAAGCCGCTGTGTTTGCAGAAGAGGTCCTTGGTCCCTCCTACCCACAACATTTCCCTTTTCTACAAGGGGAATGTTTTCATGCATTGTTGGAGTTATCAACAAGTGAACTGGCCAAAAAGAAAAAGGACTGGAGGGAACAGATGGGATGGAAGCAGGGCAGGTGGCTTGGTCCAGCCTTCCTCTCAGCCGAGGGAACAGAAGCTGGAAAGGACGTGAGTCGTCTGAGTCCCCAGAGCTCACCGCGGCAGTCGCAGGACTAGAACCTGGGCCTCCTGGCCGGGGCAGACACTTTGCTAGGTCTTGACTTCTTTTGCTACCAGCTGAGCATGGGAAGCTCCGAAAAGGGCCGGGTGAGGGCGGGGAGGATTAGTTCGCAGATGACAGCTGCCAGGCCAAGGCAGCTACAGGGAGCCGGGGTCCTGGTCCAAGCCCCATCTGCCCTCCCCCCAGCCTGCTCCAACTCCTGCAAATGCGCTCTCTGCCTTATTTGGCTTGGAAGAGAAACCCATAAACACTTCTGTGCTAGTGCTTATGCCGGTGGGCGGGGCTGGGCAGAGGAGAAGAGGAAGAAGAAAAGAGCAGACGTGGTATGGGCAGCTCCCGGCGGCTGCTGCTCTGCCCCGCTCTGCAAGGGAGCCTGGTGGGCCTTACCTGCCATGACGCCAGGCAGAGCACAAAACCCAGACCCAGACCCAGAGGGGCCATGAGGGCTCAGGCGGATCTCACCTTTATGGAAGAGGGAGGCTGGCAAGGTTGGCCCAGGGGACAGGGGGAAGCCAGCCCGCCCCCAGACGCCCCCTGCAGCCTTCACAGCGAGGTCTATGGTGAGGTTCACACAGGCCACATGGCCTACCACCCCACAGCCCCAGCACAGGAACCTTGGAGAGCAGACAGAGGTGGAAGCTGTGTGGGGAGGGGGCCTGGGGGGCTCCCCTAATAGAGGCCGAGCCTGCCCAGGCCCACCTTCACCAGGCACCCTGGCCTCTAGGCCTGCTCCACACATGCTCCCAAACCCCAGCGGCTTCAGTCCTTCTCCGCACGAATCCCCACCTGCCCCTCCAAGGCCCCAGCGGATGTGACCCAACCCACCCTCCACAAGCAAAGGTCTTGCCTCTAGTGCCCACCACCCCAGAAGCCCACCCCAGTCCTCACCAGCAGGGCCTCTGCGCCCTTAGTGACCCCGGCCATGGCTACAGACGGCTACGCCACAGGCTTCGCTCCCCCGGGGCGCTGGACAGTCTCAGGCTGGGACCCTGCAGAGTTCTCTGTCCATCCCACCCTGCCCCGAGCTGAGGACTGGGGAAGTCCCTCTTCCCGCCTCATGGACAAAGGAGAGTTGAGAGAAACTCACGGAAAAGGCCCTGTCTGCACCCTCTGTCCGGCAATAAGACAGAAAGGGGATTCTAGAGCCCTTCACAAAACTCTGAAAACCTCAGAGACCTTCGAACCAACCCCTGCCATCTCACGGGAGAACCCTAGGCCCTAGGAGAGCAGGCTTTGTCCAAAGGCAACAGTGGGACGCAGTCATAGGGCAGGCAGCACCCAGGGAGCCCAGGACAGGCAGGGCCCGAGGGAGCCACTCGCCTTCGAGGCAGCACCCAGGGAGCCCAGGACAGGCAGGGCCCGAGGGAGCCACTCGCCTTCGAGGCAGCACCCAGGGAACCCAGGACAGGCAGGGCCCGAGGGAGCCACTCGCCTTCGAGGCAGCACCCAGGGAACCCAGGACAGGCAGGGCCCGAGGGAGCCACTCGCCTTCAAGGCAGCATCCAGGGAGCCCAGGACAGGCAGAGCCCGAGGGGAGCCACCCTGCCTTCGAGGCAGCAGGAGGTAAATGGAATGTTCCTTACCTACTTGGAGCCCGGCCAGCAGCCTGGGGCACCGAGGAGTTTCTGGAGCATTTAATTAGCTCGGTGCCTGGGTTTAATTAGCTCGGTGTCCGGGTTTAATCAGCTCAGTGTCCAGGAAACTCAGTTTTATGGCTCATCTGACCTACACGGGGCAGGGTCCTGCAGGCCTGGTGGCCGCTGTGGGCTGGGCACCCACCGCACCTGCCACAGCCAACTGCTCTCAGACCTGCTGGTGTGGAGAGCCAGGTCACCCTCCCAGCCACACTCAGCCTGAAGCCCTCGGAGGGTTTGCAGGGCGCGGGTGGGTCCGCCTGTGAACAAGGTGACTGTGCAGGAACAGAGGGTCAGCAGGCACCTGCTGCACACAGCCACGTGGGTGGTACTGGGGGAACTGTCTCTGCCCAGGGAGTGGGGCAAAGCCCACAGGGTCCCGCAGGCATCAGCCCCTGGGATTCTCACACAAGCCAAGGGTGACTCCAACACGCCCATTTCACAGATGAGCACACGGAGGCTGCAGGAGGGAGGGTTCCCCAGGCGACTTGTGGTGGGCAGAACAGTAGTACCTGTACATCTGGGCCTGAGCTCTTGTGGCGCTGCCCTAGCCCAGGAGGGCACCAGGCTGAGTGACTTGGAGGGCACGATGGTGCTGACCAGAGGCCCAGCGGCACGGCCCGAGGCAGACACAGTCTGGTCCCAAAGCCGCTGCCTTCCGGTCCCCACACCATGGCAGCCGTGCTTGCGGGGCGGGCACGGGTGAGCTGGGGGGTGCCTTTGAGTTCTTCCCATGCTGCTCAGCACCCCATCCTCATCTTCTTGGTACTTGGGGTCAGCAGTGAACGACCCGCAGCATGGCAGGAGAGCGAGCAGAGATGAGAACGCCCCACCCCACGCGTGAGACATGCCCCACGTTGGGGCCTCGGTGGCCCTTCCCCCCTTCCCCCGACCCTCCCCCCACTGCC